GTTTGTTTGTCCGAATTTCGCCTTTGTCTTCGTTTTTATGACGTCACGGTTGCGCTGCGCTATTAGCTTTGGCATAGCGTGACTAATTGAACGTTGCGGTCTTCAAAGGGCGTGTCCTCATCAACTTCCATGCCTCTTCCCTTCCTCTTAACAAGATAAATATGATAACTTGTCCAAGCATGTCAGAAAAGAAATTGCAAGTGGCTTTTGCGTAGCGTGACTTATTGAACGTCACAGTCTTCAAAGGGCGTGTCCTCATCAACTAGCACGCCTCTTTCTTTCCTCTTTACGAGATAAATATGAGAGATAGCACAAGCATGCCAGGAAAGATATTGCAAGTARCTTTTGCATAGCGTGACTTATCAACATCAGACGAACTGCGAGGTGACTATTGCAGTGTTGATGTTAAGTGGGTAATCAACCACAAATGCCCTTCAAATATTGTCAAATGGGAAGCTTTCCCCAAACGATCGGAAATAAAAATGACCCAGGAAAAAATATATGTATCCTTGCTATAGCTTAATCTTTAGCGTCTAGACAACGATACTAGGTTTTAAATCATGAATTGGCTTTTGTATTCATGTCTTTAAAACAACTACGTCGTTTCTGGTTTCCTATTAATACTGGATCATGTTTTGTGAACAAATATCAGTACCCTCTGTGGTCGGCCACCCACATCTACAACTGAACCTGTAAGATTCATCCTACTGAAATAAAAGAAATATGTAATATGTTTATGATATGGATTAACTCGATGTAGGCATTCAAGGCGTGCGAAAAGAATTTTCAAGCATTTATTACTTCGTATCGAAAATAAAATCAAATTCAAATTGAATTTCATCACTCGAAAATGATTGTCGTCAATACGTCTGTGACAGCAACCAAGGTTGGTTCACACTTTCCTTTTATAACGAAAGATTAGAAGATTGGAGAGTCATTGACCCCTTTTAACTGAAGCAAACAAAATCACACGCTATTGGCAAAACAATGCCGTAGGTAATAATAATATTTGAGTAACTTTTCAAAGTAGAATGAAGTTAGTGATCCAACGTCAGCAAATTCAAAGAAAGTTTACTAGATTAATCATAATCGCCTATTAACTTAAATCCGAAGACCAAAATCTGTAAAAATGATGCCAGTAATTTCTCGATTTTTTTAGACCTTAGCTTATATGTTCGAAATAAAAGAAAGGGGAATTTGGAGAATTCTAAGTTTGATTGACATCCTGGGAATGACTTGAAAATTACAAGTGAAAACAGATTAATGAACGCGTGGTGTTTTTAGAGTCAACTATTGAAATCACAGTCTTTCGTGCGATTTGGGCATCCACCTATGAGTTTAGTACACTTATATCTGATTAAAAAGAAACTTTGAGTTTTATTGAACACTGAAAAATCCTCTGTACTGATCGGCTCTCAAAACGAATTGGAATTTAGGGCGTTTGGGAAATCTTGAAAATCAGACAAACATTCCGCAAACATAACAAACTCTGTTAAACAACTCCACTTAGAGTTGTAAGTGGGCAACAATATTACCTTAGCATTCAAAAGGTTTTTTTTTTTTTTTTTTTTTTTTTTTTTTTTCTTTTTTTTTTTTTTTTTTTTTTTTTTGCCTCGTCTTATTTCTTTCTATTATTTTTCAGTCCTCGTTATTTCTCGTCAATCTTGTTTGTCTTTCTTTTCTTTTTTTTCCTTTCATCCACTTCATAAACTTAAAACTCCATTTCCTTCTTTCTGTTTCTTCGTTTTCATTTACAACAAGAGTAGAACCTCCATTTATCGACCAACCTCTATTTAACGACGACCATTTGTCAGAGTCTCCGGCAAAGAATGTTTTTGCATTATTTATGACATATATTATGTGGCCTCCGTGTATTTAGCGGCTATTTGACACTGAATTTCGTAAAGTTGGCCGCTTTTATATAAAACTTCGGCTCTATATTTGTTGCATTTATTCCTATGTCACATTTTTTTCTATAAAGCAGTAGAAATTTTGCATTGGAAAAAAATTCACCACCAGGAGTCGATGGTTTCCGAGAGAAAAGCAAGAAATATTGGGCTATTTTCGTATCAATGTATAATCTTAATTAGATAGATCAGAAGACAGATAATAGACAAATAATGACGACAAAATTTGTTCGCAACAATTAAGTCAGTTAAGATAAACTAAATGAATTATTCAATAAAGAGATGTTAAGACAAAAGCTCACTCCTGTGATGTAATAATATCTTTGTGCAGTAATGTAAGTGTGGAAGAGAGGTATTCTATTTCACTGACCGGAAATGAGTCGGAATTAAGGTAAAGTAAACAATTAAAGATTTTTCCTTTTTTTTTTTTTTTTTTCTTTTTCCCCTCTCCTTCTTTCTTTTCCTTT